TTGAATACAGTCTTGTGTATCCTGAATGTGATGTTAATACCAATAAGAAACATTTGTTGGAAGGCAAATAATAAGCAACAATGTCGTTAGTCCCAGTCAATATATTTGGTAGTTTTCCCGCATCTATAACTATCGCCATAATTTCCTTGTTGAGTGAGCTAATGGTGTTTCATCAGAAACTCCAACCCAGCCAGAATGAAAGTCGTCCTTTTTCAGAAATCTAGAACAAAAGAGATATTTAATCTCTTTTGCTAATCTATTCCAGCCTAATCTAATCTAATCTAACAAGAGCAATTCTAACAGATTCTAATCTAACTAGAGCAATTCCTTGGGCCTGAGCTTTGCTGTTCCTGGCAAAGCCATTTTTCTTTAATTCTATCCTTGGTAGAGGCAGAGAGGAGTAAGCAACCATTCTTTGCAACATGGGCAGTAGATATGCACAGCATATGTCAATAGTAAATATCTCATGCTTATTATTTAAGATAAGGAATCTGTTAAAGTCATTGATTTATTTATCATTAGGCTTACAAAAAAAGACAAGGATGGAGACTCTTTTAAGTCTGACATTGTAAAAGGTAATTCATATCTTTTCTAGGGTTGTAGATGCCATTTTGAATAGGGTTATTCACAATGACCAATTCATTTAGGATTAAAGGGTGTATTCCACAGGAGACATTAGACTAGACCTTTGATGTTCAGATCTTTTAAAGTCTTTTTTTTTTAACAGACACTCTCACAAGAACATTATTTATGGCTGCAAAAAAAAAAGGAGGGGGATGAGAGAGAGACAAGATTTCTTTCTTGTAAATGTTTTTCACTCTCGACTTTATCTAAAAAGTTTCTTTTTAAATGGCTATACTGTTAGAAATTTTGTTTTTGTACCTGTGTTAGTAGCTCTTTTATCTTGGTTTTTCAAGGCAACAGACAAAATTCCACTTGTTAGAACTGAATCAGAAAGTTCAGGGCTTAAAGCAATCTAACACTTAATATGAGAATATAGAAAATAACAGATTTTAAAAAGAAGAGAATATAAAGCATACAACATTCTGCCTCCACAATTACAGTAGGTTTCATGGGGAAAGAAGAGAAGTAAGAGGATTCATCTGGGTGTTTGCACAATGGGAGTTAAATAATAAAAGTCAGTAAATATCATGGACTTTTGTGTTGACAGTTAAAAGCAACTACAGTGTATAAAAATTTTGTTTAAGGAAAATCATTTTGTTATTGGATTTATTCTGTCCACTTGTCTTCCTAATAAACTGCATACTAAAGACATAATTTAGTACAAGGTAACACTCTAAACTCATTAGCACTGAAGCAGGTCCTGTCAAGTGTTTGAGGTTTTTGGATGCAGTGAAAACAAATTAGAATTTAAACAACTGATTCTAACATCATTACCATGATTGACCACATCATCATCACTGCCACCATCAGCCGTCACCACAGCCTGAGGGAGTGGAGTATACTTAGCAATACTGTTTTGCACTGAAGTCTACTCCTAGGAATTTCAACTTAAAAAATTAAAAGCAAACAAAATCCTCAATAGAGAATTAGAGCCAAGGAGCACCTGGGCAGAGAATGTTGAGAGATTCTGAAAAGCTCCTGCTCATAAACTTTTAAGAAGACGAGGAAGAAAAGACAATCTTCTGTAGTGAAGACTTAAATGTCCCATTTGCAAATGACCTCTGGCAACTCCTGTTCTTCCGTGGCTGGACCTCTTTGTTGGGTGCCTTGGGAACCAATAAGAACAAAATCCAAGGAAGGAATCTTACAGGGTTCAAACATAAAGGAAGGGAAAATCACCGAAAGACAGGAACTTTCTGAAAGTTGAGGGAGAAGTTTTGAGGAGATTCCAGGTAAATCCAGCCTTCCAAGTGGGTTGTTTTCTCACGTGCCTCTTTCACTTCATTTTGTTCGATTGCCTCACATGCTGGTCGCTGGTGTAATTTCAAACAAAAACAAAACAAAACTAAAACAACAACAAAAAATCCTCAGGAAACAGTGGTGCAGAGTCTGGGGATGTCTTGCCTGCTGGTTTTCAAGAGCCCTTATGTGAGCCCTTAAGTGGCACTTACCTAGGTGATGTTACCTTGGTTACAGACACACAATCCAGCTTGCATATACTCATTTCAGCAATGCCTTAAGGGCAACATACATGGGAAATCCAGCAGTCAGATAGGCTACTTTGTACATGGGGATCAGAATAAAGAGAATTAGTTAATGTACTGTGGAGCATTTCTACCCAATTTAGTGATAGCCTTACCGAGGACACCATAATGCTCAAGTCTGTATTGCCAAGACTCACTCTTCCGGGTGGTATCTGAATGGCCATTGTCCACTCGTGGCTCTTGGGGGGTTGGTTATCCAGTTCTTCATGTGACCAATTCCTGTCTGACACAAAGGCTTTTATCAACCAGGACCAGATAATGACCTAATACTACAAAGGTTGTCAGATAAAGTACAGTTAAATTTGAATTTCAGATAAACAATAAATAATTTTTTAGCATAAGTATCTCCCAAATTTTGAATGGAAATTCTCTGTTTTAATTTAGTAAATCTGGTAACCCCAAAATGGCCTTCCTGAGCTTGCTTCTTTGTTTCCTTGATTGGATTTTGGGGTTTGCCTAACTCTTTTAATGTACACATACGATTTCTTGCTTTACCTATGAAACGCTAATAACATTCATTGCATGTGGATTTACTCATTTGACTTTTATTTATTTTTTTAACATTCTTTATTGAGGTATAGTCATTTTACAATGTTGTGTCAAATTCCAGTGTAGAGCACAATTTTTCAGTTATACATGAACATACATATGTTCATTGTCACTTTTTTTTTCGCTGTGAGCTACCACAAGATCTTGAATATATTTCCCTGTGCTACACAGTATAATCTTGTTTATCTATTCTACAGTTTGAAATCCCTGTCTGTCCCTTCCCACCCCTCGCCCCCTTGGCAACCACAAATTTGTATTCTATGACTGATTTGACTTTTAGAGTGTAATTCTCCCTGATTTATAGTTGTGTGTATGCTGGGGTGGAGAAGTGGATCTTGCTATCACTGCCTTGTACCGACAGCAGCTGTTGAGATAAACTGCATTAATCAGAGTTGCTTAAAGCAATACAAACCATTTTGGGAAGGATAAAGGATTAGTATAAATGAGTTCCAGCAAGATCACTTTAACTGCAAGCTGAAATAATTTGTATTGAGGAAAAGGAAAATAGGAATTCTTCTATGGGAGAAGGGTAATTTTGGAGAATGGAAACCTTTGAGAATGAGGCAGTCTGGGGAGTGGAGTTCTATAGCTGGGACTTAAGTGTATTGTGGGTCTCTAAGGAAAACGCTAAGATGTTAGAGAAGATGGCAGAATGGGGGCCAGGAAGACGTTAAAGAAACAGTATTTCAAGTCTGTGCACAGGGCTGGCTTTAGATGTACCAGGGGCTGGAGTCCCTTTCTCCTGCTGTCTTCTATTCTGCTCGGTCCTTTGGTCCACCTAATTGATCAGGTTGGTTTTTTATTAGTACTATTATTTAACTGCATTTGGATCAAACAGAATAAATTTTGTGGTCTAGCTGGGAATTTTACCATACTATGTAACATTTTTTATGAGATGTGGTCTGAATTTCAAACAACTTACATAAAAATAAAATGTTGACACATATCTTGGTCAGGCTGGGTGTGTGGCTTTTCAATCTGGTGAGCATTGAATCCAGGAAGAAGGCCTGGTCACAGTGCAACGTATTATATTGTATTACACCTCAAAAACAGATCTTACAGGCTCAGTGCAATTCAATCCAACAACTATTTGTTGACTACCCTTCTGGAAACACAAATATAATATCTTTTTTTTTTTGGGGGGGGGCAGGGAGAGGTAATTAGAGCATGCTCTCTACCGCTTGAGCTACACCCTCCGCCCCCAACATAGTATCTTTTAAAGAGAGGTGGTATAGGTAAGAGAGTTCATAGCCGTGCATTGTTAGGTGAACAAGAACTTGCTCTGACTTCATGATGTTTACAAATAACTAGAGGGCTAAGACGGCTTTTATAAAGAAGAAAGTAACAAGAGATGACGTATGTGGAAAGTACATTGCAGTACTTCAATAATTAAAGTAGAAATAGAAGTAAAAAGAACGATTTTTCCATGTTATACTTAAAGACATTAAAAATATTTTTATCCACACTATAAAAAACAAAGTGCATTGCAAATGTAGAGTGCCCTGGGGATTGTTCTAGAATGGGCCTTTAAACTCCTAACACCTCCTGTTCTCCAAAATTAGGAGTATCAGGTAAAGGAAACTGAGTCCTTGAGAAACCCAAGAATGAAGATCGTGAATTGCCGGTGGCCACGGGAGCCATAAAACTTTGGACGAGTTACACACCTTCAGCTTCAACTTCCTCCTCTGTTAAGTGGGGATTACCAATATCTTGCAGGGTTATTGGGTAGATTAGAAGCAGGTAATGAGTGAAGCACCTAGCATTGTGCTCGGCAGCAGTAAGGGCTCAAGAAACCGTACCTTCTGTTACTACTTATTTTCAACTTCTCTGAGTGATTGAGAAGGGAACACTTTGTGTAGGGCTACCCACTTTGTGGGTCCTACTTAGAGGCACTGCTAAGCCATATGGTTTTCACAAGGAACATTCTGCGGCTTCCGATATATGCCCCTCGCCTCAGCCAGGGACCAGAGAAATTCGGGCTCCTCTAGAAAAACCGGTGCCCTGGTCTTTTCTCTGTAGGCACTAAGGGAGAGATTCCGCAGACCAGGCTGCGAAGACGATCGGGACGGCAGGGAGTCTCCGAAAGGGTCCCGGGAGCCCGGACTCTGGTAGGACTCGCCCCGGCGGCTCGGTCCCCAGCGCCGGAGCGGAGGCGGGGAAGTGGACGCCGAGGGGCGTGGGGCGACGGCATCGGTTGTCTGTGCCCGCCGAGCCTGGGCGGGCACATACTCCTAGCGTCCAATCCCTAGCCGGAGTCGCGGCCTCATGAATAAGCAACAAGGCGAAGTGCCCTCCCCCTGGCGTCCCAGACAGCGGAGGGAGCCGCCACCCCTGCAGGGGCCGCCGTGGGGATGCCGAACGCGGGCGCCGCTGCTCTCTTCTGCGCGCTGCTCGGCTGAAGGCGCACAGGTGAGGACGGGTCGGGCTTCTGCCACTCGGGCGGCCGCGGCTGCAACCGGGCGCCGGGTCAGAGCCGGAGCCGGAGCCCCTGGCGGCACGGGGCCGCCCTGTGAGCGTTGCAGTCCGGGGCGCGCGGCAGCCCGGGGCGCGCCAGGCGTGCGCCCTGCGCCCCCGCCGGAACGCGAAGCCCAGGCGCAGGGGGCGCGGGGGCAGCTCCGGGAGCGTGGGGCGCGGCGCGCAGGCCTGGGAGGACTGGCCGCACTCCTCGCTCCAGCTCAGCCTCACTGCTCCGCACCAGCGAGCGGGCCTTTGTGCTGGCGGAGCTTGCAGAGCTGGCTGCTTTTGTGTGGGCTTTCTTTCTTCTCTCCCCCCCCTCTCAGTCTCACAGCGGTGGTAGAGAAGTTCCCGAAGACTAAGATTTGATCCTTTCAAAGCATCGGTTGCAGTGTCCCCGACGCCAGCCAGTGCCCAGCAGCTGAGGAGCGAATAGGGGCTGCGGTGGCTACCGAAACGTGTTCTGCTACTTTGCAGAAAACAAATAGTTGAGTGTTTAGCGCAGAGGTGTCACGGAACCTCCTTGCTCAGACCCTGACCGTTCCCCCAGAGGCAGGAAGATGCTCCTTGGAAAGGTCAGTTAATTGGAACGAGGGCCTGAGGGTTAGACTCCAGAATGGTTGCGAGGTGCTGCCTGGAGGTGTCCAGATGTCGCATGTGCGTCCTGGTCACTGGTCACTGGTCACTGACAGAACCTGACAGAACCTGGTCACTGACAGAACCTTCCTAACATATAGAGCCTGGCTGGCGAAAAAGGGAGCGGGGGCACAAAATATAGGACCCTCAAGTGTTTGGAGTTCTCCATGATAAGAAATGTTTGTCTTCTCAAGCTGATCCCGAGTATCTGCCAGGATCTTGGCACCTCATTTCTGTGTAGAGCTATTGTGGAGGAGAGGAGAGAGGCTGCTTTAAAGAGCCTGCCTTCTTTCTATAAGTTTTAGTTTGAAACTTAAGAAGAAAGGGGGGTGGCTCACAAAACCATCCATAGACTTCTGAAGGATTTCTTCCGTAGGGAGCAAAATGTGTGACCAGATTTGCATGTCTCCTCTCCTTTTTGTGTATTTCCTTGATCCCCAGTGATGCTGTTGGGGCTCCAAGGAGTCTCGTTTACACGCCCACAGAGTCAGTCGCTGACCGACTAGTGCTACTCGCGGGTGGAATCCCATTGTAGCATCTATTGCACGAAACTGAAAACCCGGGTGAGATTTCACAGAATCAGAACATTTACGCATAGCAGAGATTTAAGGGTAGCCTGACTTACTCTTATGAATGAGGTAGAGTTGTTGTGTTTGTCATAATAATGAACCAAGCACACTTGCAGCAGACTTGATACTGATTGTGTTTATTCACAAAACTCCCAAGACTCAGCAAGTCTAAGGTAGCTACAGCAACAGAGCCAATTAGGGAGATGTGGATTTGTCTTCGTTTTTATGGGAGGCTTCTTATATTCTGGCATGTCCTGCTAGACCTTTCAGTACCGTAATTTGATTTTACAGGAACGGTTTGATGCTAAGTAGAAGTACATAAGTATAGGATCAAAATGAGGAAGGTAGGCTTACCTGTTGTGGAAAATTTCTACTTGTCAGCTAAAGGTATACTTCACTTTCTATTCAGCAGATGTTTGCCTGAAAGCTTGTGTAGGGAATTGTATTTTTGTTCGTTGAGTTCTGTTTATTCTCACACAGGGAAGCTGGCTGTTCAGAGAGAACCTGAGTTTAATTTCTGTAAAATGGAAGCTCATTCTCTAATTAAGATGTGTGGTCAGTCCTGTTTTTTCATATTGTGTTTTCTTGGTGATTATAAGAAAAGCATCTGAATCACATTTCAGCTTGAAATGTTAGAAATTATATTTAATCCTTGAAGTGTCTACCTGGGGATTACTTTCTCTTTAAATGCCAGCTAGTAGTTAGAGATCTTGTCAAGCAAATGAGGTTTGGGACCAAAAAAAAACAGAAACGAAGTGTCACATTGGGTCATTGACAAGAGTGGTGTGATAGAGGGACAAGAGCTTGTTGATCAAGATTGATTAGGACGGAATTCTGCAAACATCAGACAATTCCCAGGTCACTTTGTCTCCATGAAAAGCTGAGAGGGGAAGCTCCTTGGAAATATCTCAAGGAGAAAAGGGATGCTATGGATTCCTCAAGCTGTTCGTGTGTCTGTATTTTGAGGGGGATGCGTGACAGTACCACACGCATATGCCTTGAATGGTACAATACTTAAAATTTTTCTTAGAACCATTTTTTATGTCTATCATCACTTTGTCATCTCTCTTCCACCTTTGAAGAAAACAAAATGAGCACTATTATCTCCATTTTGCAATGAGGAAACTGAGTTTCAGTGATTTTCCCAAGGTAGAGCTGGAACTCGAAGCCAGCTTTTAAATCTTCATGTCTAGCTTTTTTTTTTTTTTCATCAGGGACAGACTGGTGCACTAGGAGTAGTAAACACAGATAGCTTCATTTATCTTCATCGCTACATTGGAGTGAATAAAGCTTGTGGGCTCAATATATAGAACTTAGTTGAGGTCTGCAGAAATGGTAAAGCACTTTGCTGGCAGTGCCCAGAGTAACCGTCTTGACTCCAGCCTACTTACCCTCTTCCCTGTCAGCTCTGATGCCACTTTCCTCCTGGGAGACTCTGCTTTTTCTTGTGGTTACTCTATTCTCTCTCCTCCCACTGTGGTTGAACATGCTACTGAAAGGATTGTCTGACACTCTAGCCACTTAATTTACAGTGAAGGATGGCTAGGGTCAGGTGATCTTAAAGCCAATATATCAGGCCAGTGGCTGTTGTCAGTTGCGCAGGGAATCAGAAATGGGGCACCTTAATGCTGTGTGCCGCAGCTGGGTTAATAGGGTCAGAGTCTTGATAAGCTCAGCCTCAGACAAGTGAAATAGTGTTGGCAACGAGAGCCTTAAGAATTAAGAAAAGAAAAGATAAGACAGCGACAAAATAATCTTTAGGAAAAACACCAAATGGATAGATCGTTGAGGCACAAAGAAGGGAAAGAGTTTCCTTTTCCCATTATCAATCAAAGAATTACTAATTGGGTTTTGAAAGGTGAAGGGGTAATTGAAAAGCAAGTTGACCTGAAGCTCTGAGGCTTGTCCCTTGTTCCTGGTGATCTATTTTTTTTTAAATGAAATAAACTGAAAACCTAAAGTATAGCAGAAATGAGAATACAGAAATGATTACTGTTATTAAAATGACACATTGAATAAGTAGCCAGAAGTGACTAGGGGATGAACAAAACAGACCAACATGGACAGACCATAAACTGTCATTGAACATATTACAGTATAAAAAGGAGATTCTGAACATTCTTTATCATGTGCTTCAATGCTTATTTATAGTCACTTCACGCCAGTAAATGTTTATTGAACATCTCCCCTATGTGTCTACCATTATTAGGAATTATATGGCAAACAAAGGAAGCTAAAAGACCAGTGTTTGCATGCAAAGAACATGATCTTATTTGAAGTGATGAGACTTAACAGACATGACGATTTGTGCTAGAGAAGCTGGGAAAAGGATGAGAAAAGAATTGGCCAGGCATTTTTGTGATAGCAGGTAGTAAACAGGACATGACCTGGGGGGTCAGGGTTTGGATACCTAGGGAAGGGAAGAAAGAGGGAATGTTCATTCTGGTTAATGCAGTGGTGTGTGCAAAACTTAGGAAGCTGAAATGAGCAAGGTGCCTAAGAGGACAATATACCCAGCTGGCAATGGTGTTTGTGCTGGGCACTGGTGGTGTGGGGTGGCATTCCAGATATAGAGTTTGGCAATTGTATGTTTGGGGACATTAAATGATATGTTTTGGGAAGGTAGAAAGTTGTGGTGGCAAAGGCAGGAAAGTTAATGTCTGCCAGAATTCACAATTTCAAAAACAGACACAATCACATAGGTAAGTTAATTAACCTCTATACGCTGGTAGTTTTCTCGTCTAAACAAAACAAACAAACAAAAAGGGGATAATGGTAGTACCTAGCTCATTAGGTTATTGTAAAGGATTAAGTAAGATAATTTATATAAAGTACTTAAAGCACTTGGCATCCTCCAAATAGTAGCCATTGTTGAGTGATTATTGTTGTTTTTATTCTTAAGGATAAACCATCTGGATTATATAAAATGGAGTGGAGGGGAGAGAGTCTGAACAGGATCATTGATTAAGAGGCAATTAAAATAATGATAGTCTAGTGTCCTCAAGGAGGGACAATTCCAAGAGATACTATAAGGGAAGAATCTGCAGAAGTTGTGAATCTAGCATCTATAGGAGAGAAGAGTCCACGATGACCCCACAGTTTAGATGCGGATGCTGTGTGTGTTTGAGATAGCATCTGAGTAACATCCAGTAGACAGTGAAAATCTGAGCTTTCTTCCCCAAACCCCACACCAACTCTTTATGGTATTTGTGTTTATCCCAAGAAAAGGAAAATATTAGGCAGACTGTCACCAGCTTTTTTTTTTTTTGGCATCCTCTACAGGCCTTCCCTTTCTTGAATACCCTTAAGGCAGTGCTCACGTTCCTTATATATTATACATGAAACTCAGTTTCCTTCGGAAAAAGTAGCGTTGTCACTGATGAGAATGATTTAACACACTGGTTCCCTTTTGTGTCTCCATTTTGTTAATGCGCTGAACAAGAGCAGCATATATTTCAGTTGGAAAAATATTGACGAAGTGTTTTTTTTTAACTTTTTTAAAATTGAGTTATAGTCAGTTTACAATGTTGTGTCTATTTCCAGTGCCAAGTTTTTTTTTTTTTTAAACCTGATTATTAAGTCAAACAGGGTGGCTCAGGCTGTGTATTTTGGGTTGTCTTTCATTTGTCTTTGAAACTCGAATATGCCTAGACTCGACAAAGAAACAGATTCTGGACTGTATCTATTTAAGATTGTCAAAGATAATGCTTGACAGAACAGCTTATCTGTTCACTGGTGGCAGAAACCCAGTAAATTGTTCGGAGCACTGCCAAGCCATTAGGATACCTTGATAGCGAATGACAGACAAAGTGCTACTGACTTGCTCAGAAAGGGATGCTTTTTAAGCTATTAGAAAGGAATATCCACTATCCATTAGCAGTTGGGTTAGAGTTCATTTATCTGAATTAATTTGCACCAATGGATAGATTGAAAAGAAAGGAGCGTCCATAGTCAGAGTGTAAGGGAAAAGTCAGAGGAATGTTTATTTATTAAATACTCTGATATTTGAATTAATTTAGGGTAATTAAGACACAATTTCTAGTAAGCAGTGAAATCTCCTCTCCCTCCCTGTCCTCCAACTATAGACATTCATCTGTTTGTTCAGCCAGTATTTACTAAGCATTTCCCCGTGCCAGGTACTTTGACAAGGACAGGAGACAATGTCGAGGAAAAAAAAAAGGTGTATAGCCTTCAAAAATATGATTGCACGTGGTTATTTAGGTTTGGAAATAACATCATTGAACTGACATCGGTCAGCCTTTCCATATTTATTCCCTAATGTCATGCAGCTCCCAGTGGGGGATATCCAACTCCTAGGAGGGGCTCTCTGAACCTGTGCTGTGCTTTGAAAGATGGAGAAAGACCAGGAGCTTGAAGGTCATCTACCAATTTATCTGAGTTGCAGATGTGTTCCCTGCTGCCGTCCCTCACAGGCTATCTTTTCCACTTCTTTTCAAGTTCAGGCATCACTTTGAATAGTGGGGAGAAGGAGCATAAGGCTGCAATACACAGGCACAGAATAGGCGTGTGGTTCACACCACTTTTTCTGCTGTAATTGGATTTAGAAAGCAGGTGGCCGGCACTTCGTTACAGAAGGAAAGTCTTCTGGAGCAAAGGCAGAATTCCCTTCACACAGAAATCCTAAACCTCAAGATCTAGGGAAAATGAAACCTTGAAGGAAAAAAATCTGTCTTGGAAAGGCAATAGAGGTTATATTAAATCTGTATTGTTTGTCCCCCACTACCCTCCAAATCCGATTTGTTCATAAAATTCTCCCCTCAGTCCACATGTCTCTGGAACATATAAATAAAATGTGAAGCATTCATGCAATCATTTGGGTGCCTTGCCTGTTTGATGGCAAAATGAAAACATTTGTATTTTTGTTTTGTGTTCTATACATACAATATAAAAATGAAATCATGGGGAAAGAAGGGATTTCAATTATTTTGTTTAACTCCTTATTCTGTTAAAGGAGAAACTGAGGCTATTTGTACAGCATCACATAGTATGTTTTAACAGCAATCAAGCTACGGGTCGTTTTTCTGATGCCAGTCCATGTCCCTCTAAACTCTACTGCCCCTCATGATGGCCATTGCTCTTAGGTTTTTATCCAGAAGCATAGAATCATGGAAACCAAGCTTTTAGGCCACACCCTCGATTTTCTGGGGTGTTTGGTAAGATTTCACTGAATGGGAAAACTATTTGTACAGGAAAGGGCAGCCCTCTGAATGGATTAGAAATGAGCCAGAGAGTTCAATAGCTTTTACGTATCTTTGACTCTGTAGTTTATACTTCAGCTTGTCTGTTCAGAAACCAAAGGTGTAGTTTCATCAGCTGTGAGCACTCTTGCTTCACAGCGATCCTATGTTTTTGTTTTAAGAAAGGAAAATAGAGGCAGCAGGTCAAATACTGTTACCCAGTCAGTTACCTGCCCGTGAACTGGGATGCCTGCTGGCTCAGCTGAAGTATGGGGATAATGTCCAGAATGTTCACATGCTATTCCCTCTTTACTAAATATCTTTCCCATAGTCTCTCCTTTTAAAACAATGGTAGCTAGCCTGTGTGTAGTTTAATATTTAATCCAGTTGTTCCAAGCCCTCATCCTACGCAGGGGGGCATCTAGCATCCCTTCCACTATGTCTGGGGATTCTTGGGTGGGTGGCTTACTTTTCTTCCAGTCATCTCTGGCTTCAGTCTTCTTCTACTTCTAAATGTATGATCCCTGAAATGCTGTTCCTTTTCTGCATGTGGCACCTCATGACATCACCCCATTCCTGTATTCTCTCAGAGTACTGTGACTCAAGGTTTCTGTGTAAAAAATTACACCTAACTTGATGGCAAAAAATATTTATTATTTCATCCCATGCCTGTGTGTAGGAATTTGGGAGTAGCTTAGCTGGGTGGTGCTGACTCAGGGTCTCTCAGGAAGTTGCAGTCAAGATGTCAGCTCGGGCTACAGTCATCTGAAGGCTTGACTGGGGGCTGGGGGAGCTGCTTCCAAGATAATTCATTCACGTGGTGCTGGTAGTTCAGCAAGAGGCTTCAGCTCTGAATCCATAGATTCCTCTTTCCTCATGTGAAAAAATTCAACCTACTCTTTCTCTTCCACTGTCTAGATCTTGCCCTAAGCACTTGGCATTTTCTCTGACTCAAAAGGAGGCTGTAAGACTAAATGGGATAGCATGTGGAAGCTTTGGACTTCTTAAGGGCAGAAGGCCTTATGAAATGTAAATTTTTATATTTTATGTGTGCACGTCGTGTGCCTAACCCAGATAGTTTTATGATTAGATGTAGAAGAAAGGAAAAGAATGGCTTTTATAAAGATAAGTCTTTACATTTAGATTTAGAATTTTCATACCAGGGTTTAAGTTTCTAGAAAACAGTATCTGAGGACTTTCTGATGATGGGAATAGAAAGGGTCCTACTCACCAAAATAGATAAAAAGACATAAAACCCTTAAGTTTTGGGGAAAATGAGCAGTTTTGATGTAATTTTAGTTGTAACGAGAGTGTGAGTAGTTTAAAAAAGTGCACTAAATCTTAATCTTACAGTAATGTGTATTCAGTAAAGATTGCTAATTTAAAATGTGTTTTGGTTGTCTTAAAAAGTTTTTTTCAAGAAACACACTTATTTACATTGCTTAACTATTTTCCCTTTTCTAATCTTTTTTTTTTGAGACAAAGATTTTGCCTATAAAAACCTAATTTTTATAGTTGTTGCAGAGAAAATAAATAATTTAAGTATTTTCAAGACAAATTTTAATTGAAAATCAATTATATGCTTTAAAAAACTCTTGAATAAAACTAGTATTCGGTATTTTATGATGATATTCAATACATTTTAAAACATACTTAAAAGATTCTGTGAAAGTACTATAAGTAAATGTTAAGATTTACTTTCTATATCCTAGACATGTTGCTATTTCTAGTCATTTGACTACATGATTCATAGAATTCGAGGAGAATATTACAAATGTGACTTTAAGGATAGTTTATTTCAAGTAGATATTTAAAAAACAATGAACCTAGGACTTGAACTATGTGTACCCTTTTCTAGAGAGCTTCAAGTTAAATCAGCTGCAAAATTTAGCAGGGAAAAATGAACTGGGTTAACCATGTCTCAAAGGTACAGAGAAATAGAACAGCCTTTCCTATGTACTGTCTCTGAGCATGAGGTCAAGGAGATTATTTTACTTACGGTTTAATTTTAAGGGGCTTATTTACAAAATATATTTATATGGCAGTTCTGATATGCTTTATTTTTCTGCAGGACTCAATTACAGGAATTGTCAACTCTGCCAATTTATGTGCACATTTCTCTTCCACTATGAGCGGACCAATTGCAGTGCACATTTGTCTGGCTTTCAACAGCCTTCTGCTTCTCAATGTTGCCACACAATGTCTGGCCTTCCCCAGGATGGAAAGAAGGCAGATAGCACCTGTTCATGCAGAAAAAAGGCATTCTGAGAGGATGAACACAGATGACCTAGAAAGTAACTCCATCACTTCAAAGTGCACTCCAGTCTCTGAAGATCCAATGACAGTGTTAGGAGGGCCATCAACAACGTCTTTAAATGAAGAATTCCCTACTAATAAAGAAACTCCTCCTCCAGGAGTTAGGCTCATGCAGCCTGATAGCTCTGCCATTTACACTGCTACTGAGCCAGTGGTCCCAGGAAGGGAAGAAATGTTTAGTTCCAGCCTGCCAGAGAGAATGTCTCCCGAAAGCCGGCTTTCCAAGGCCATGTTAACCAACCCTATCACCCCAACTGCTGCTCTGAATATTGATGAGAACGAGGAACCCTTCCATAGTACCATCATTCAGCCCATTGTGGAGGGAACCACTGAAGCAACACGAGGTTTTCTGCACTATGTGGATGATCAGTTGTTTGCAACTGAAAGTCAGGAAGGAGTGAGTCTGGGACATTCACCTTTATCCCTTGTGAATACTAAAGAAATGCTAACCACCAATCCAAGGGCTGAGAAATTTGAAACAGACCCAGAGCATAAGACAGTTTCTTTTCCTGGTACTGAGCCCAAAGCAGGCACTGAACTTTCCCAGATGACAGTTGATAATACCCAGGCTACTGCCACCAAACACTGGCTCATGACCTCCGAGTCCACCCTGAGTGCTAAGCCAGAAACTGACAGCCTGCTGGGAGCCCCAGATGGCACAGTGAGTGTCAGGACAGCTGTTCCAGCTGCCTCCGTCGTAAGTGATGAGTGGGATGACACCAAATTAGAGAGTGTAAGCCAGATAAAGACCCCAAAGCTCGTAGATAATACAGAGGAGACTCAGGTGAGAATGGAAACGTCTCAGACAGCCCTAGTAACTGATGATGGCATGGAAGGCATGGAAGGGGGCAAAACTTTGACAGAGGCTGCGGGTGTGGCTCTGAGGCTGCCTGAAGGGGAAACACACATGGGGACAGCCCTGCTAATAACACATGGAGATGAGAAATCATCTGCCTTCACAGATCAAAGTTTCTTTACTCCCACAAGTCTAATGGAAGATGGGAAGGTCTCTGTCATAAACGTTCAAAATACTGCAGAATTCATGGAATCCACCCAGGAAAATAATGCCATGTTCTTCTTAAAGACCACTGTTTCCATCTCAGAATATGAGTCTGAGGCATATCGACCATTGGGAAATACATTTAAAGGTAAAAGAAGGAGAAAAAAAGCTTTGTTTAATTTGAAATGTTTCTATTTTTTAAAAATTGAGTTATAATTGACATAAAACATTTATTAGTTTTAGTTGTTTTATGTTTTTTAAGTGATAATTTAGAAATAAGTTATCTAGGTGTTAATGAAAAACAAAAGTAAATAAATAAAAATACATTTTATATAAAAATTACATCCAAATATAATCCTTGCGTATAGACCAGTGGTATTCAACTGGGAATAATTTGTGTCTCCTCCCATCATTTGGCAATGTTTGGAGACGTTTTTTCCCAGTTTTATTGAAATGTAATTGACATATGGTACTGTGTAAGTTTAAGGTGCACAGCATAATGGTCTGACTTACAAACAGCATGAAGTGATTAACATGGTAAGTTTAGTGAACATCCATCATCTCATATAAATACAAAATTAAAGAAATAGAAAAATAGTTTTTTCCTTGTGAGGAAAACTCTTAGAATTTACTCACTTAACAACTTTCATATATAACATACAGCAGTGTTAATTATATTCATGATGTTGAACATCCCTAGAACTTATTTATCTTATAACTAGAAGGTTGTACCTTTTGACCGCCTTCATTCAGTTTCCTCTCCCTCCACCCTTTGCCTCTAATAACCACAAATCTGATCTCTTTTTCTATGAGTTTGTTTGTTCGTTTGTTTTTGAAGTATAATTGACAGCACCATGTTAGTTCCTAGCTAGTTAGGTGCACAACATAGTGATTTGATACTTCTGTACATTTCAAAGTGATCACCATGATATGTTTAGTTACCATCTGTCACCTTACAAAGATGTTTCTTAATTATTGACTTATTCCCCACCTGTGACTCATTTATCTTGCAGCTGGAAATTTGTACCTTTTAATCTTCATCACCTATTTCTGGAGACATTTTTGTTCGTCACGACAGAGGGCGTCTAGTGGGTAGAGGCCAAAAGTGCTGTTAGGTACACACACAGCCCCCACAACAAAGATTTGTCTGAGCCAAGAGGTCAGTAGCACTGAGAAACCCTAATAGAGATGAATATTTTTCAAATATTTTGTTATAAAAATGTGTAAATATACAGGAAAATGTAAAAAAAAATTAGCTGTATGTTTAAATGGTGAAATAAACAGTGTAGAATACTTACTTACACATTGTTGTAAAAAGTACTCACTCACATCCCTGATATTTCTTACCAAAAGGCTGTAGGTAAGTAAATATTTATCTCACAATATCAACCGTATGAGCTGTTTTCCCAAAAAGAAAATCGTCTAGAAGTGAGGGGAAAAAAACCCAATACAGATAAATCTTCTCTGCTGGTTTGATTCTGCACTTTTTACTTTCTCTTGGCCGCTACGTCTGTGCATGTTACTAGCTGACAGTCCTTGCATTGGTTGTTGACGGATCGTGTTTTTCCTTTATTATGTGTAGTTGGTCAGAAGCAGCATGGGGATGGGAAGACTTAGTGAAACATGCATCTGATCATTCCAACTTGTTTTGGAATATGTACAGCTGTTACTTCAGCTCAGTAGCCTCATTAATGGAAAATATCAAATTAGTAATATGTTTTATAAAGTGTCATCAAGATTGAATTAAAATGGTAAAGGATTGAATTTTACACATCCAGTTCACTTTGAAAAGACCCCAAGACCTAGTATACTGGAGGTTTTCATGGACGCTTCCAGAGAATGTTTTGTAAGTTGGTTTTTAAATTCCATTAAGAGAGTTGGGTCCATGTGACTGGGAGGATATTAGATATGACCAAACAAGAAGTTTACTTCAATTCTCCATAATGCTTTAAGATATTCCTGAAGCATTAAATCACATAATTCCAGACTGTTCACTGCACAATTGAATCCATGAGTCTTATGTACTCCATTGGCATTAGCTTCTATTAATACAGCCTAAAAAGTAAAATGTATTTGGTAATTGTCTGATTATGTTTTTGCGTATTGAATATGCTCCTTACTTAGTCATAATTGCCTCACTTAACTACAGTCTTTTTTTTTTAAATTTTATTTTGGTGGAGAGAGGTAATTAGGTACTCATTTATTTATTTATTTACTTACTTATTATTTTAATGGAGGTACTGGGGATTGAACCCAGGACCTCGTGCATGCTAAGCAGGCACTCAACCACTGAGCTACACCCTCCCCCTCAGTCTTTTTTTTTTAATTGAACTGTAGTCAATTTACAATGTGTCAATTTCTGGTGTACAGCATAATATTTCAATCATACATATACATACATATATTCATTTCATATGCTTTTTCATTATAGGTTACTATAAGATATTGAATCTAGTTCCCTGTGCTATACGGAAGAAGCTTGTTGTTTATTTATTTTATATATAGTTAGTTAGTATCTGCAAATCTCAAATTCCCAATTTATCCCTTCCCACCCCCTTTCCCCCTTGGTAACCATAAAATTGTTTACTATGTGAGTCTGTCTCTGTTTTGTAGATAAATAAGTTCATCAGTGTCTTCTTTTTTCTTTTTAAAAATTCTGCATGTGAGAGATGTCATATGGCATTTTTCTTTCTCTTTCTGGCTTACTTCACTTTTAACTACAGTCTTTTGACAGGCAGCTTCTTTTTATTCCCAGCACATAGCACAATATATGGCACACAGTAGGTGCTCAATAAATACCTGTTCATTGGATGAGTCAATGAAGATAGAGAACAACTCAGCCTGGAATTATCCGTTCTGACTGCCTTGTCCAAATTCATCAAAAAGCTTCTAAATGTTCTTGGTAAAGAGAGGAACGGTCAAATAATTCCTTTCAACTTTACTCATTTAGTTGTTTTGTAGAGTTAAAAATAATAAGAAAAATTGAGATTATTGACAGCAGTAGTGAGAGAATAGCCAAAAAGCTTTTCTACCCATTTTCTGGTGATTACAAGTATTTTTCAGAAGTAAACAACGCAAATGCCATTCATTTTAGGGCCCAGGAACTACATAGAACATTGTCTTCTTCAGGGAACACACTGATTTCTTGGTGTTTTTGGGTACTATGAACAGATGAGGATCCTGAGATTATAATCAGTCCTCTGATTCAGCTGGTTCACTTGAAGATCAGATTTTAAACATAATCTGTAATAACTCATCATATTTTTTCCTCTATAGTAATTAGGAAGAATGAGAGATGCAGAGAAACTTTGAATGCTATTTTTAAAATTCCCATTACTATTTCTAGTTCTCACTCTTTTTTCTTTAACAGCAGTCACTTATTCAAAGTACTGTGCCCTTTTGATATTTCTTGCAATTTCATGAAATTATGAACGTAGAGTGAACATTTACTTTTGTGTATTTTTTCTCAAAAGTGTTCATTATGCTTTCAAAAATGAGGGCCACATAAGGAGTGTATACTGCTTAAAATGATAAAACTATGTATTATCTTCTCAGCTATTCCTAGAATGCTATTGCTCATTGCATTATTTACTGGACTTGCTAATATGCTAAGTATCTAGAATTAGTATGTAAAAAAAATGGAGATAATGTAGTCTTCTAGAAATTAAGTTTTTGTACTGGCTCAGTATTTGAAATTTCCAGCATAGCTCCTCCCTAAGAAGGAGGCAGATATTGACCCTTATAAATAGTCTGTAACAACACATTTGAGGGGGCTATAACGTTGTAAAGAAAGTGGGCCTGTGATAGATACGTCATACCCCACAGGTCTCTTTCATTCAGTTTTATGATCTCAGTGCAAATGTAGACCTTCTACAGAGGCCACTCCAAGTTGTTCCTTGGGCAATGACATGGCTGAATAATATTGCTGTATATGTGTGTGTATCACATCTTGTTTATCCACGCATCTGGCAATGGGCACCATTAGCACAGCGGTTCAGAGCACTAACTATGTAACCTTAGTCAGATTCTTTACCTTTTCTATGCCTCAGTTGTTTGTAAAATGGGGTAATAACAGCTGATACTTATTGAATACTTACCAAGCACTAGGCACGGACTAAGTATTTTTACATGTGTTATCTGATTTAATCTTTATTAAAACTCTATTAAATAGATACTATTATTATTTCCATTTTACAGCTGAGGAAGCTCAAGTCCCAGAGATACTAAGTAATTCGTTCATGGTCACACAGCTAGTAGTGACTGAGTCAGAATTGAGACCCAGGCGTATTGGCTCTAAACCTGGATTTTTTTTTATTGGAGTAGAATCGGTTTACAATGTTGTGTTAAGTTCTGGTGCACAGCATAGTGATTTAGTTATACATATATATATATCTTTTCATGTTCTTTTTTATTATAGGCTATTACAAGATATTGAATATAGTTCCCTGTTCTATACAGTAGGACTCTGTTTGTCTGTTTTATATACAGTAGTTTATATCTGTTAATCCCAAGCTCTTAATTTATCCTCTCCTGCTTTCCCCTTTAATAACCATAAGTTTGTTTTCTATGTCTGTGAGTCTGTTTCTGTTTTGTAAATAAGTTCATTTGTGTCCTTTTTTTAGATTTCACATATAAGTGATAGCATATGATATTCTTCTTTCTCTTTCTGGCTTACTTCACTTAGTATGATGATCTTCAGGTCCATCCATATTGCTGCAAGTGGTATTATTTTATTATTTTTTATGGCTGAGCAGTATTCATTGTGTGCATGTGTGTGTGTGTGTATGCATATATATACATACACATACCACAACTTATGTGTGTGTGTATATATATGTATATATAGATCACAGATATATATATATATTACCTATATATTATAGGTATATATTACTACCTATGTATAATATATTTATTATAGATATACCATATATGTATATACCACAAGTGATATATATATTGCTATATATATATATGCATATACATAGTACAACTTCTTTATCCAGTCATCTGTTGATGGATATTTAGTTTGCTTCCATGTCTTGACTGTCGTAAATAGTGTAGAGCCTGCATTCTTGACTGCTATGATACGTAAGCTTCCATGAAATGATATTAGTAACTCCTTGCCCTTTTTACATATGGGAAGATTAAATAAGATAATGCCCATCATGCATGTGGCAGTGTGTGTGTATGGCACCTAATAGAAACTCAGCACACATTGGTGATTTTAATTACTATTTCTTTAATTCAAAATGTCAACTTCCCTTTCCCATTCAGGAATGCAAATCAAAAATTAATACATACAAATGCTTTTGAGAAGTTTTGAAATTTAGTTCTGTATAATTTATTTCTTAATGAACTGATGATGTTGATATGCTTAAAAGGGAGCTCAGCTGTTGATCTTCCTGTTTTGTTTTAGATTTTATTTTATGTTTTTTAAAAATATTAACATCTTTATCTCTGTCTTAGATTGATTCACCCCTCCTGACGACAGTGACACGGGGAACATTTATTTACTGGCAGTTTGTTTCTGAGCCATCCCTCTGCCTTCTTATTCCCTGAAACACCTGGCTCCTTTTTTTTTTTTTTTAAGTATTAGTTATACAGTGACTTTTTCAGGTATAGGGATTTAATTTATTTTAAAATGTTGTTTCCCCCCTTTTAAGACGTCATCACTCAAGAGATGACAACAGCTGTTCAAGAAGCAGACGCCACTTTATCTTCAGTGACACAAGAGCAGCAGGTTTCTACCCTCGAGGTTACCAGAGAGGATGTGGAGACTGAGGAAGGACAGGAGGCCCCCTCGGCCACAGCTGATGTTCCTGGTGTGACTCAGCTGTCGGGGAGATGGGAGCCTCTGGCCACAACAGTTTCAACTACAGCCGTCCCTCCGTCTTTTGAAATTACTCCTGCTATGGAAGGTCTGTAAGGCAGGGTATTGGACTCGGCGTTTTGGGGGGTGGACCTTTTCTGAGTTGATAAGGAATAGAATGAGTGGGACAGATGGCCCTGTCACCAGGGTCCACACACATACCTGGAGGGAAAGGTAGGTGAACTCTCGTTTGGAGAGATGTGGTGCAGCCTAAAAGGACAGGGGGTTAGTTTACAAGTAAAATCTTTTGGCGGCTCATCTCTGAGGCCCGAGAAGGCCAGGCCTTCTGAGAACTCTCTCCTAAATTTGACAACTTAGGCTTCTAGGAGCCCGGGGTGAAACAGCAAGGGCCTGGGTTTGAATCCCAGCTTTGGCCCTCACTGGTTTTGTGGCTTCAAGCAAGTTTCTTAATGTCTCTGAGCCTTGGTTTGTTCATCTCTGACTAATGCCTACCTGTCTTATAGTTTATTTTAAGGATTTGAAATAATGTACACAAAGTGGAGATGCTCTGATATCTTGAGGACAGTAAAGTTTTCAAACCTGGGTGATCATCAGAATCACCTGGGAATTATAAAAATTATTATTATTTAATAATTATTTTTGGACTTCACATCTCTGTTGCATCATTGGCCTAATTAAAGCCCACTTTTATTTATTAACTAAGTAATCTTTAGCAATGTAATAAATACCTTCTAATTCTGCTTTCCCTGCCCACAAGAGGAACACCCCTAGGGTCTTGTCAGTAAAGTACAGGTAACCCCATGACCCTTCCCACCTAAACCCCTTCCTCCTGTTTAACCGTCAGCCTGAATCTTGTGTTTGCCATTTCCTGGACTGCCTTTTCTTTTAGTTTTATCATGTCTATTTTTACTTCTAATATTATACAATTAAACATTTTAGTTGTTTTTTACTTTATAAAAATATTGTGCTGTAGATACTCTTCTGGGGACTTTTTTTTTACTTAATATTCTATGGCTAATATTTACTTACTATGGTTCTTTCATTTTGACTGCTTATAATATTCCATTGTGAAATTATATCACAGTCTGTTCACTTAATCTTCATCCAGTCTCTCCTAGTGATTTGCATTTGGGTCATTGCCAGGTTTGGCTGTTGTGAACACGGCTGCCATGAATATTCTGTTGCATACTCTCCAGTGCACATGTGTAGGACATTCTCTTGGGTATATACCTAGGAACTGAATTGCTGGCCATGGGGCATATGACTATTTGACTTTAGGAGACAGTGCCTAAGTGCTTTCTAGAATTGTTGCACCCATTTATACTGCCAACAGCAATGTGTATGAGAATTTCTGGATCCATAGCCTGGGAGCTGTTACAAATAGGTTCTCAGGCTTTATCACCAAGGGGGTTCTGATTCAGTAAGTTGGGATATGTAGAAAGTATGACAATCAACAACTTAAAAAAATTACTTCAAGAGATTCTGATGACCAACCAAGCTTGTAAAATACTAGTATTCTTGAGTTCCTAGATTTGAGAATACCAGGGGCTAAATTTGGCTGCTTTGAAATTGAACATATTCCAGACACAGATTGAAGCTCTTACTCTTTGACTTGACTTAAAAAAAAGTCTTTGGCATATATTTAAATAAATTTTTGTTAAATTTTCTACCTTTGGTAATAGGTTATATAAAATCCTATGAAATCTGTAATATTGTCAATAGAATAAATGGGAGATTAAAATTTAAAAACAAAGTTCTGATTTGAGACGGTATGTTTTCCTGGAAGATACAGTGTTTGCCTTGGGGAGCTGGACCGATGCAGTGTGGGAAGGGGAGCTGGTCTCGGTGCCAAACTTACTGTATGTAAGTTAGTGGTTTCATCAGTTATTTCTTGCTTAAGAAGTAAAAGCACATGTAGACATTTCCCATAATGATCCTCTTTGGGTTAAGTTGTGTCTCTTGTGTTTGGCAGACCTAACGGACACAGTCACAGGGCCGAATGAGGAGCTGTTCACACCTCTTGTGGGTTCTCCAGTGACGCCCCCTGGAATAATGGAGGAGGCACCCAGCGCTTCTCCAGAACTTGCTGACCCCGAGGCGTCTTCCCAGAGAAGAACTCCTGCTCCCCCCATTAGCTATGTTAACACAGCCGCCTCGTATGGCCTGGACCAGCTCGAATCTGAAGGTATTCATGCTTTGAAGGGGATCTTTTCCGGGACGGATTGAGTGAGTCACTGAGTTGAAAAAAAAAACAAACCCAAAAATAGTTGTTTTTGAGAAAAGATCAAGGAGAAGTGTATTCAGTGTGCCGTGTAGATCAGGGGTCAGTAGACCATGGCCCGGCCAAATCTGGCCAGCCATCTGTTTTTGTATGGCTTGCAAGCTAAATTTTTAAATGATTGAAAAAATAATCCAAAGAACAACAACATTTAGTGACATGGAAAAGTTACATAAAATCCAAATTTCAGCACTCCTAAGTATAATGGTATTGGGACACAGCCACGCTGGTCCGTTTATGTCTTGTCTGTGGCTACTTGTGTGCCTGAGCCGCAGAGCTGTGTGGTTGCAACAGACTCCATGCCTACAGGGCCTAAAATATTCATAATATGGTCCTTTCCCGAAAAAGCTTGCGGCGCCCTGGTCTAGATCAGTACTTCTCAATTACAGTTGAACATTAGCATCACCTTGGGGAGCTTTTAAAGGATTCTAGTGCCTGAGTCCTCCTCCCAGTGATTCTGATTCAGTCGGCATGGGATGGGATCTGGCGTCAACATTTATGAAGAGTGGCTTTAGATGATTTCAGAGTGCAGGCTGGATTGAGAAAACTGGGTGGAAATTTAATGTGGATTGTATTTTTGTAAGGTTGCTGTGGTTGTTCATACTGGGTCATTCTGCCTATTGAACATCTCTGGGTTAGATGTTCCAGTTTTCGGAGATAGGTGGTCTCCTTAACTATTACGACTGAGAAATTCATGTGAAGTTTTACTTTCCAAGACATTGTCTTAGAGTATGAAAAAGATGCTTGGAGCACAGCTGCACATCCACAAATGAGAAGACTGGAAATATGATGAAAGGTTGTTTAATTAAACTGCATTTTGGCAGGTGAACAGCTCCCGGCTGGAGGTGCAAAATAGTCGAGATTTGTAGTGCAGTTTCTTAAACTAATGTGAAGGACAGGTAAGCTTTCGGGCACTACATCAGCCATGCGTTTGATGCGGTAAAGACATAGGATGTGCTGGGATTTTATATGTTGTGTACTGTACAGCCAGGAAGGTGGTTCGGCCAGGTTTACAGCAGACTATTGCAGACTCTCAGGATAATACCAGTAGTTTTCTGATGGAGAAATGTGATATTTTAGGAATAGTGCGAATTCCATAGAAGTCTGATTTAAGAAATGGATCAAAGTGAGCTCAGGGGGTAACAGCTCTTGCACTCCATGGTAAGATAAAAACTTGGAATGTAGTCTCATATTAGCTGTCTGCTCTCCTGGATGCCATCTGGAAAAACCAGGTTTCCTCAAATTAACCTGAGTTAGAGATGACAGCTTTACCCGGGAGGGCTCATTTAATCAGAGAGAAAAAAAATTGTATTTGTGAATAATCCATACTTGTGAAACTGCAATAATTCTCTAAATTTAGCAGATGATGGCAGTTGTATTGAAATGTGTGAGAATTTTCTTAACTTGCCTAAGATGTCCTGGAGTCTTAGTGCTTTTCTTCTGCACCATTCAATTCCAGCTTCTTTTTGAGGATATATTTTGTCAGTTTTGATCTAAGTTATGTTCCTTGTCAAGGCTTACAAAAGACATTTTTGGTTTAAAAATATTCTTTCTGCTATGTTGTCGGGCTTAAGACAAGGTTTTGAATGAGCATACCTTTTCTCCTAAATACCAGGAAGTATTTATATTTAATTAGCATATGTTAAGAATGTCACAATTAGTTTTATGCTGGTCCATCTCACCCTCTGAAAGCCGAAGTGACTACTCTTATTTAAATTGATAAACCTACTAGATTCCTGGATGTTATTGGAAGCCTTCATTTTCAATGCATGTTTTTCCATCTTGTCTGGGAATATAAGTGCAGCTTGAGGCTTTGACTGGATGAAGATTTTAATTCTTACATAGCATTATACCCAGAGGAAGATCATTTATTCTTAGCCAGAACAGGGTTGTGCGATGTCAGGTTATTTACGTTTCAAGTTTGAATCTTTGTGATGTGTTGATAAATGACAAACAATTCTCCAGTTTAAGCTGTGTGTTTATTTGATTATATTATTAAACTCCCTGTATGTCCCCCCACCTCATATATTCTTTTAATGTCTTCCTTCCCACTAGGGGACAGGAGCACTTCTCCAGAGAATGGGATATTTTTCTCAATGCGATATGGACAGGAGACCTGCCCTTGTTAGACACCTCACACCCAAGGACTAAGCTTTGTGGAAATTTCGGAATGTTTATCCTTTAAGGGATAGTTAATGGCCCAAATGAACCTAAAAGTTGTATCTACTTGGTACCTTGTCTTGCTGTCTTCTCCTTTTCTAGGCCAGCCATAACAAAGTACGGTAAACTAAGTGACTTAAAACAACAGAAACTTGTTCTCTTGCAATTTTGGAGCCCAGAAGTCTGGAATCAAGGTGTAGGCAGGGCTGTGCTCCCTCCAAAGCCTCTAGAGAAGAATCATCCCTTGCCTCCTCCAGCTTCTTTCTGGTGCCTCAGGCATTCCTTGGCCTGCGGCAGCATCCCTGCTGTCTCTGCTCCCATCTTCACATCTTCCCTGTGTGTGTCTCTGCCCACATTTCCCTCGTCTCATAAGGATATCAGCCGCTGGATTAGGGCTTACCCCGATAACTACATCTTAACTTGGTTACATCTGCCAGCACTCTATTGCCAAATAAGGTCACATTCACAAGTACTGCGGGGTTAGGACTTTACCATGTTTTTTGGGGGGGGGCGGAGGGCGCAGTTCAACACATAATAGGAGGTCTGCTTCTGAGGAGTTTCCTCTGTGGTTCTGAAGGCAGGCTTGCTCTGCCTCTGGCACATGCACTTGAGGGATGTGCATTGGTAGAATGGGAGAAGTTTGGTGTGCTTTACACTTCCAGGCATTGAGGAAAGCCGGGTTCTATAAGTGCAGACCACCTTTTGCCTATTTCAGTAAGTCTTTTACCTTGTCAGCAAAAATGCAGTTTGATTTTTGAAAGGATAATGGTTTATCTGTCACCTTGCTTGATATACTTTACTTCTCTGTATTTTTTTTTATGGAACAAATGCTTTCAGGATGATAAAAAATGCATTATACTTATCTTAGGCATAACTCTACTAGGGCTGTATTTAGCATCTTTGAAATATAAACATGACAAAGTGTTCTTATTTTTAATTCAAAATTGAATAATGGCAAAGTACATATATTTGTATGTATACATATATGTATATATGTATATATAATGTGTATATATATATCTGTACATAAACTAATTTTTGGACATGATCTCTGTTTAAGTTGATATCCTTTTTTTGTTAAATATTAATGTCTTTCTCTGCTCCAAACGACAACTTAAAATTCCTGGTTGTTTATGAAAACATACTTGGAATTTTTTCATTTGGGGTTACTGTCTTTGAAATATTTTCATGCTGATATCAAAAGTAACAGGACTTTCAGTATTTCTTACTGAAAGAAATTATGCTTTCTGTATTTTAGAAATCCAACGGAAGATATCTATTTACTCTAAACAAATCAAACTTATTTTGGCCTTTCCTGTATTTCCATGGAAGATAAAAATTTGTCTGTGCTGTAAAATTGTAACAGTAATTCTGTAGGGTGGAAAGTTATTGCTTTAACAATTCAGTATTAAGAAAAAAATCTACTGTGGGCCTACTTGTACCAGGTACTAGGTTTCTAAGAAAAGAGGAGATGAGGACAAAAACAGGTTTCTCAGTTCTTGTAATTAAGATTTTGGTAATCTTTCCTTACATCCCCAGCACTTCTTCCCTTAGTGTTTGGAAGTCAGTACCTGGGCCTTCCAACTCGTGGGAAATGGGAAACCACTTGGTGCTCCCCATGGTGCTGATCGGATAGACTTGGGGACACAATGAATTTGCTTGAATTCTCCTAAGATGAGCCTGGGTTAGCTTATTGCTATTCTGCAAGAGAAGAAAAAACACCATTGCCTTTGTTCTGGAGAGCAGGAATTCTTGATCTGATTGGTCCTATTGTCTTTCTGTAGTCATAATAGACTGAGTGTTGGGACTTTATTGTCCAGTGCCATTATTCCAGACAATTCCTATTTCTTCATCTGTTTCAAAGGGGCTATTTATTACAGGGTTTAATGGAACAAACTCATAGCAATTGACTTGCTGGATGATTACCTTTTAAAAAAAATGACATTTTATATGTAAGCATATAACATACTACCTTTTTTTTAACATATAAAGAGATATAATTTTTTTTAAAGTATCCAACAGGAAAGTCATGTTTAACTTTTTTTAATGTCTTGATTTAAAAAAAGTAAGACTCAAATGTGTCATTTAGCTTCAGTATTTTCTTTTCTGACAGTCTTTTCCTTGTTTTCTGAAGACCATTTTGGCTGTCCTTATATTTAGGTTTTAAAAGATTGTGTTTTTGACATCTTTTCCGAGCCAGGCAGCACACATAGGCCAGAAAGCTGTCATTATTCTGTCATTTGTTGTTGAATCTGTTTCAGTGACATCCATTTTTCTCTCTTGGTGTGTGTGTGTGTGTTTAATATCATGGCTATTTTCCCACAGTCCTCTAAGGGCATTTCTAATACATATTTGCAGCGCCTCTTAATTTCCTCTACTGAAGAGATAGTGGTGTTATCTCTCCTTTCTTAAGTGGAATTCTTAGTTGTCTCTGATGTAAGATTCTCTCTGTGATAATGTGAGAATTTCAGGAGAAAGTCATGTTTGAAAGGTATGCCTTCATTCAGATGACTGAATGGTATTTTTTGGCAGTGTGGTGGCCTCAGAATTGGTACTGAAGTCAAGATGCTTTGTTTTCTTTTCTTTTATTGGTCAATGAGAAGTAAATTGGAAAATGCATTCTTTCAGTACATTGTGGAGAAGCCTCAGAGATATTTTTCTTTGGTAGCTCCATTGAAGATTCTTAACAGCATGTGCAATTTTTATGAGAGAAATGTTTGCTCTTCACCTGCACTTTGATTCACAAA